AACTTTTTTATGCTTCCTATTTTCATGGTATATCCATCCTAACTCTCTTGCTTACAAATTTTATATCTATTTTTAATTAAAGTACATCTCTTATAGATAGTATATAGTTGGATTTTTTTAAAAGACTTTATTTTTTAGAGCAGTTTTAGGGTCACAGCAAAATTGAGCAGGCAGTACAGACAGCCCCTACATTCTCCCACCCCCAACACATACACACAGCCTCACCTACTATCAACATCCCCATTCCAGAGTGGTATATTTGTTACATGAACAATTCCATTACTCAAAGTCCATAGTTTACACTAGGGTTCACTCTTTCTTGTATGTTCTATGATTTTTGACAAATGCTTAATGGTATGTATACACCACTGTGATATCATGCGGACTAGTTCAAGGCCCTAAAAATGTTCTATGTTCCATCTATTCAACTTGCCCTCCTTTCTAACCCTTGGCAACAACCACCAGACTTTTTACTATTTCCATAGGGTTACCTTTTCCAGAATACCATATAGTTGGAAAGATTGGCTTAACATAGTCATATGCATTTAAGTTTCCTCCTTTTCTTTTCATGGCTTGATAACTGATTTCTTTTTAGCAGTAAATCACATTCCATTGTCTGGATATACAACTGTCCACCTACTGAAGGACGTTTTGGTTGCTTCCAACTTTGGCAATGATGAATAAAACTTACTGTAAATATCCATATGTAGGCTTTTGTGTGGACATAATTTTGCAACTCCTTTGGGTAAATACCACGGAGTATGACTGCTGGTTCATATGGTAAGATTATGTTTAGTTTTGTAAGAAAATACCAAACTGTCTTCTAAAGGAGCTGTACTATTGTATTCTCACCAGCAATGAATGAGTTCTTGCTGTTCCCCATCCTTGCCAGCATTTGATGTCATCAGTGTTGGAATTTTCACCATTTTAATAAGCTATAATGATATCTCAATGTTTTAATTTGCAGTTACCTGATAGGATGTTCATCTTTTCATATGCTTACTTCCATCCATATGTCTTCTTTGATGAGGTATCTGTTCAGATCTCTTGCCCACTTTTTAAAATAAGTTCGAGAGAGAGCATGAGTTTACAGGAGAGGGACAGAGAGAGAGAATCCCAAGCAGACTCTGCACTGTCAGGAAGAGCTGGACATGGGACTCAAACCCATGAACAATGAGATCATGACCAGAGCCAAAATGAAGAGTCAAGTCTTAACCAACTGAGCCACCCAGGCACCCCTAGATCTCTTGCCCATTTTTCAATCAGGTTGTTTTCTTATTGAGTTTTAAGAGTTCTTTGTATATCATAGATAATCCTTTATCAGATATGCTGCTGCAAATATTTTCTCCCAGTCTGTTGCTTCTCATTTTCTTGATAGTGTCTTAGAGAAGTTTTTACTTGATGAAATCCAAATTACCAATTCTTTATTTCATGGATCATGCCTTATTGTTACATCTAAAAGATGGTTGCCAAACCCAATGCCATCTAGATTTTATCTAGATTTAACATCTGGATGTGATCTGCTAGGAGTCTTATAGTTTCATGTTTTACACTTAGGTCTGTGATCCATTTTGACTTAATTTTTGTGAAAGGTGTATGGCTTTTCTGTTGTTTTGTGTGGCTATATGGTTCTAGGACATGCTGAAAAGACTATCTTTGCTCTTGGTCAGAGATCTGTAGACTATGTTTGTTTAGATTGGATCTTAACTACGTGGCCTTTTAACTGAAACGTTTAGTCTCTCCCCTTCCACATAATTCTTGATATGTAAGGGTTTAAGTCAGCCACTTTGCTGTTTTCTAATTGTCCCATGTCATTTTTTCTTCCTATATTCTTTTCTCCCATTCTCTGGGTTAAATGTGTCTAATTCCTCATTGTTTTTAAGCCATACTTTAGGTTCATAGTGGTTACTCTGTTCAGATTTTAAAACTTTTCCCCCAGATTGGATAGATCTATAGACTTATGTTCATTAATCCTTGAAGTATCCAATAGCTCATATAAGTTGTTCATTTTAGTTCTTGAGTTTACAATTGATATTTCTCTGATGAGAGTCTCTACTTATTCACTCTTCATGATCATTTCTCCTGTAAATCCTTGAACATATTTAAATATCACCTTTACAGTTCTACTAAGTTGTGTTAATTGCCAAATACTGGGTCATTTGGGGGTCTATTTCTAATAACTGTTTTTTGAACATGGGGCAAATTTTCCTCTTTTGCATGGCAAATAATTTGTATTCTAGGATGGATATTGTGGATAATACCCTTGAAGGAGTCTGAATTATGTCATCTTCTAAATGGTATTTTATTCTTTGGGACTGTTTGACCTTAGGCTAGCCAGCCCATAGGCCATATGGGACTGTTTTTGTCAAGTTTTATTGGAACAAAGCTATTGCCTGCTTTTTTACATATTGTCTATGGCTATTTCTACACTAAAACAGCAGGGCTATGTAGTTGTGACACAGACCATATGGCTCACAAACCTAAATTCTATGCTCTCTTGCCCTTTAAGAAAGTTTGCCAACCCCTGTTCTAGGATTCACACCTCACTCCTCAGGTGTCACGTTTCACTGAGGTCTCTCCATTTGGGATGGGCTGGTTACTCCAAGGATTCTGCGGCACTAAGTCTTGCAAATCCTTTTCCTAGACATGCACATCCTAAGTCCTCAGACAGGTACTCCTTTTTTTTTTTAATGTGTGTTGTTTTTTTTTTTTAATTTCCGAGAGAGAGAGAGAGACAGCATGAGCAGGGGAGGGTCAGAGAGAGAGGGAGATACAGAATCTGAAGCAGGCTCCAGGCTCCGAGCTAGCTGTCAGCACAGAGCCCGATGTGGGGCTCGAACCCATGAACCACAAGAGCATGACCTGAGCCAGAGTCAGACGCTTAACCGACTGAGCCCCCAGGTGCCCCCTCAGACAGGTACTCTTGATAAGACCCCATCAGATGGGAGATCCCATTTCTGCCTCCCTCCCCACATTTCCCTTGTCTATTTAAATTTCTGTTTCAGTAATCCAGCCTCTTCAGCTGAGCAGCATTGCGATTCTGGTTAGGGCCAACTTTCCTGGGAAAATGCTGGAAGATGCGCCCAGGCAGAATCTCAGGATGCTTAATTGAGGGGCTTAACAGTCTGTTTTCCTTCTCCCAAGGATCACAGCCCTGTGCGGTTGTTCAATGCCTGAAAATAATACACTTATTTTGTCCAGGTTTAAAGTTGTTTTTTGTGAGGATACATCTGGCACTAGTTGTTTATTTTTATTTTTGAGAGAGAGGCAGCGTGAGCAGGGGAGTGTCAGAGAGAGAGGGAGACACAGAATCCAAAACAGGCTCCAGGCTCTGAGCTAGCTGTCAGCACAGAGCCTGACATGGGGCTCGAACCCACGAACCGTAAGATTATGACCTGAGCCAAAGTCGGACGCTTAACCGACTGAGCCACCCAGGTGCCCCCTGGCACTAGTTATTTTGTTATCATAAGATAAAGCTGCTTTTGCAGAATGAGAGATCCTAGAAAACAGAATATTGTGATGATTCTACTCATGGCCTTTCATTTGACATTCATTGAATAATAATTTTCAGGTTAACTATGTAGAATTCCCTGAACCCTCCCGTATAGTACAAAGTAGACACTATGTTAAGTCATTACATGTTGGCCGTGTACAACCAGGACCGTTCGCGTCTTCAGGGAGTTCAGTCTAGTAAATCAGACAAACATTATACATATCCCTTTTTCCCCATTTTGAAATACATCTCTAGCAAGGCATACAGAACTAAAAGTAATTAAAAGCAGAGGGCTAGATTTCCTCCCCTTTCCCACCATATATCCTTAATGGGACTAGTAGTATGACAAACTGGGTAGGCTTTATAGAAATCTAAACAATGTAGGGCAAAGATCACCTCTTTTGGACTTTGATTATAAACTACTTAAAAATGAATTTAAATGCATGATAGTTGTAGTTTTGTGTTGTTGTTTTTTTTTTAAGATCAGTAGTTTCCAAAATAAGTCAACTGAGTTTGATTTTGTGAATTTGTCTAGAGCTATGTCTTTCTGGTCCAAAAACTAAGATATAATCAAGGATCATAATCCTATAGAGACTTCACCTGTGCTTTCTTATGCTTAGGCTCCCCCCAGTGAAGTTGCTTTGTATTTTGCTACCATTAAGTCCTGTCTTAAGATAAGTTCATTCAGTGACCACACCCAATTGCAAAGCTTAGAAGGCACATCGTGAGCACTGCAGCCTACTTACTGACCAGACGTCAAACAAGAGTGAGACATTTAGGGGGCAGAAACTTTTAACCTTATTTTAAATTAATCTGAGCTTTTCACAGAGTTTTCATAGGGAGTATCTAATTCAGAAGAAAAAACAGGTGGCTTTGCCTCATCTAACTTGTGTTGGCTAAAGGCTCCCTTTGAGTTGTAAACATTTAGCCGGGGGACAAGGCCTGGCTCTGCTAACAGTCCAAGACGTGTAGGCTCATGAGGCTTAAGGCAGGAGCAAATGTTTGATATGCTTGTTTCCCTCAACAGTACAGACCAGGGATTGGCAAACATTTTCTGCAAAGAGCCAGATAGTAAATATTTTAGGCATTTCAGGCTACACAGTTTCTGTCAAAACCACTCAACTCTGCCCCTGTAGCATGAAAGGAGCCGTAGAGAACAAATAACACAGCTGTGTTCTAATAAACTTAATTTACAAAAACAGGCGGCTAGGATTTGACCTAGAGTTTGCTGAACCCTGCTGTACATAAATTAGCAGAAGTTTAACTGTGTTTTTAGTTTTATAAAATGTTCAAGATCTTGAAAAAAGGTTTTCCTTGTTTGTAAATTGCCAGCTTTACTGAATGGTTATCTTTTCTATTGATGAGATAAAGCTGTTTTTACCTCGCAATTCCTCCAAGTGACCAAAAGTGGTAAAGAGAACTGTTTCTACATGCTACCTAATCACACAGTACTTTGCATGTGGTAACTTCAAAATGAAACTTCAAAATGAAACTTTTCTTTTGACAGATTAACACTACAGGTGAAGATTGGTAAAAAGAAACACTGATTTCTGAGGTGGCCTGGAGAGGAAAAGTGCTGGTCAGTATCACGTGGACAAGCTTAGTGTTTTCCAAAGATGCTATTGAAGTAGTCTTTGCTACTGCTTGCCTTCACTCAGAGCTCTTCATAAAAACATGGGCTGCATGAAATCAAAGCAAACTTTCCCATTTCCTACCACATTTGAGAGCGAGAAGCGGCATGCAAGTGAAGAAAGCTTTATGTCTGGAGAGAGATTTCCACCTAGAATGCCTTCTTCAGTTCAGGTCGAGCAAGAAGTGAGAAAACCATCAGGAACCGAAATTGTGGTCTTCGAATTTGCACATCGCCTGTCCCAGGAAATCCTGAGTGACGCCCTGCAGCAGTGGGCAGGCAATAACATCAAGTACTATGACATCCCATATATTGAGAGTGAGGGGCCTTGACTCTGTAGGATGATAACTTCTTGAATTGTGGATAAAGTTGGTGCTACATGAAACAATAGCAAAAACTGGTGTGAATAAATACAAATAACTACATCTGGATGTAAAAAAGTCTATGATAATATCAAGAGTATAGAGTACTTAAATGAAATATGTTAAGCACTTTTTATGTTAACACCGATTTCTATCTGCTTGGCCTAGGATTTTAGTCATTTAAAGGGCGAAACATAGGTCCTGCACCACAGTAATCAGCTATTATGTCACAGCACTTTCTTCCTGAGGCAGTAATAGAATCACCAAAGAAATCAAATGGTTAAAGACACTTCTTTTAAAATTACTATTTGTTAATTTACACACACACAAATAAGATATGAGAAGGCTTTTTCCCAAAATGCTTTGGCAAGGAAATGGCACTTAAGCCACAGTAATTAACAGTGGGTCTTGTTTGTCAAAACCATTTGTGTCAAGGATCCCTGTTCCTTAACACAAATGACCAAGGAGTAGAAAGCAACCCATGCAGAGGAAGTCCACCTTGAAACCTGTTCTTGAGACATTTATTTTTGTAGCTGAAAAGTCTAACTACCACCTTGAACCTCAGGGCCCAAACTAACCTCAGCTGTTACTGGATGACTCAAGACATCACACATAAGGCACCTGAACAAGATACAATTTACAGAAGTCATGACATTAATGTTTATGGCATTGAATTAAGCAGCCCAGTGATATAACAATAAGAATTTTTACAAATAGCAATCCAGTAAATTTTAAAATAACAGAAGCTCTAGTCAAGATAGAAAGCAGAACCTGTTCTCAGTGCTGCATGCATGTTAAGTTTTACTATCTCAAAGATGCAGAGGGTCAGTATATGGGCACTCGTTCCCATTTTATTATTGACTAGTGGGACCAGTCTATGCATGAGTATACATACTTGTGTTACAAAACGAAAGATCAAACACTCCTCCAAAGAGTATTCATTTATTTGTGTATGTGTGGTAACAATGCTGTTAAGGTATTTATAGCCATAGACTTAAATCTATCTTTTTGGGGCAGCTTTTATTTTTATTTTTTTTAACAAGTACTGTTTGAGATCCATGGCAATAGAAAATTTGGGAGGGGAAGAAGATATTGAGAAGACACACCTATAGAAAAATTGGGATGCAGCCACTAGAATTGTCTTTTCACCAAGATTTGCTGCATACTGAGTTTAATTGGAAAGGGGATTATTTAAGTCTGTGTGCATTAGATTCTTAAGATTCAACAGATCATTGTCACCAATATCTAAAGGACGGCAGAAGACGACTTGAGATAAATATGTACGTGGCCTTATAAGCAGGCAGAAATGCTACCTCTAATTTTAACGGTTATACTTTGAAACCCACAAATGGAGTGAATTCTCCCGGATGCATGGACAAAGAAGGTTCTCTGAAGTGAGTGATGTACCATTTTTCCATTGCTTTTAGACACCTGTCATTCAACTTTCATTTCACCTAGATCTGAACTCTTCTGTTGTACAATCTAGAAAGAAGGTAGAAAAAACCCACCATCCTCATTTACACAAGGATATGAAGGCCTAAAACTAAGAAAACATTTTTGGAAAGTGCAAAATATATTTCCAGGTCATAAAGAAAAATTTAGGGTTTTGAGTATACTAATCACTCAGACAAAAGCCTCGATGTTGCCGTTTTTCATCCGTTTTATGTCTCACATCAGGACATTTTTGCTGCAAAGTCACTCACTGTTTAAAAGATGTAGTTAAGTATATAATACAATATTACAGTGACAAAATAAAGCCATAGCCACACTAAATTTTTCAGCACCCATTGGGACGTAGACTGGCGAGTTTTGGTACAGCTAAGTATTTTAACCTCAGGTTCCTCCTGTGCCTGGTCCCCTATTTCCCAGGGGGTAACAGGCATGCCTGTCAGATCCACATCTAGCGCCAAGTGTCTCTCTGTTGCCGCCCTGACACTGCGGCAGTATGGTTTTGTCACCAAGCACCAAACCCTCGCTCCTGAATCATTTTCACAGAGTAAAATATCTTGCAGTGTAGCCTTACCTTGCATGGACAAGGAACTACGAGGCTTGCATCATCAGTGAGTGAGTAGATAATCCAAGTTGGAGGCAGGCAGGAAAAAGAACTGGATAAGCAAGTGTGTACCACAGGTGAAATTATCAAGATACACTTTTGCCTTGACAACAAGGCAGATAAGAACATCTTTGGTAGGGTTCCTCCTCTCATACCTTCATATTTAAATACAAGATTTATTTTACTTTGAACTTTCATGAATAGTAAAAGGTCTATTTGAGAAGAAAGGAACATATAAAACACAAGACTGAAAGAATTATTAGCTACAGAAAGGGAAACGTTTGTTCCCACTTCTATCACAAACACAGATGAAATAAGAATAGTGGCCAAATCATAAGGGAACCATGGCGCAAGAAACAGCACCCACGTCAGGCTCCATCAAAAGACACTGCAAAACAAATCTCCAGTGTTCTCGACTGAGGGAAGGGAACTTCTTTACCACCCTGACAGGTGCCCAACTACTGACTCTTTTCCCTTGGGAACATCCAGGCTAGGGGCAGATGAGTGCCGCCAGTGCGGCAAAGAACCTGCAGATGGCAACAAACCCAGATTCTCCGAGGAAGTGAGGAAGCGTGCCAGTTCCTCACCTACAGAGACTCAATCCCGCGAAAGTGCTTCCCTGCTCCCTTCCCTAGTTAAAGGTCTCTCGTGTGCTATTACCTTTCAGTTACAAGCCTTTGATCCTAGAGTGCTCCATTTTCAGTTGCCTTATCTGTCCTTTGCTACCTACCTATGGTCATTAGCACTCAAAGCACAACTTTGAAGGGGATAAAAATGATCCTAGTTCCAAAGGAATAATTTGTGTTAAACTGCCTTATTAGTACTAAAAACAGACATACTGCTGAATAGGATAGCATGACACATGTATCCTACTTAATATCATTGGCATTTTATGAGATGAGGGAACTATGCTTTTATATTATATACTTTTAGAAATCAAAGTTAGAGACACATGATAAAGTAAATGCAAGGAACAGTAATTTAAAAACAAAATTCCTACAAATGTGTTGTTTGCTTATTAAGCAGTTAATGCCCTCACCCTGTATCTGTGTGGCCAAACAGGATGTATCTTCCTTGGGGCAAGTGGGCACAAGCTCAGATGTACCCCTTATCTCTTACTTTGGAAAACTCACGTTTTGTTAGCTAATTCTCTTCCTGTAAGACTTAGCTACGAAATTGTATATTTTTTCCAAATATTTTTGAGAAAACATTTTTTCTAACTGTACAATAACAGTCTAGTTGCAATTAACTATGAGTTCGTATTAAAGCAAGCAAATGCCTTTCAACATTGTTTACTGTCATTTTTTGACATAAAGAACATTTTCTGCATGTCTAATGAATACAAAGTGAATAAAAATACAAATAATTTCTTGGCTTATTCAGGTCCAATTTAAGAGCTTTAAGAATATCAATGTAAACATGTCCATTATCATGCCATCTTTAGTCTAAACCCGTTCCTCACTTTTTTGGTGGGAAAATGCTTCGTGTTAAATATTAAGAATAGAAAATTTAAAGCAGCTCCTCCTACACTGCAATTTCCTCATCTAAAAGAAGAGTGCAAGATATAAGTTTTGATGTGTTTCTCAGTTCTGCCACTTTTGTTTTTAAAAACCTGAAATTCTCTTCATTTCTGAGGGGTTTTGGATGAAGAAAAAACTATAACAAGTTAGAAAAGATAAACTGACCTTTAAAGGTCATTCTTCCCTAGACTTTAACATGCCAAGTCTAGAACACCTGCAGTTCCTTGTGTCCCTTAAGAAAAACTTATTTTGTCAACAGTACCAATTACTGAAGGTATTTCTATTTTGAACAAGGTCCTGGCTTTCGATTTTTTTCCCTCCTGATTTAAACTATGCAATGGCAAGTAATTTCTCACACTTCCTAATTCCTCATCCTGTCAGATTAACAAATCCTAAAAAACAACGAGAAATAAAGCTTTCACTTTCACCATAGGAAGGGATTCTGGTTAATTTTAGGGAAGACCAAAGCTGAGTTAATACTAGAGAGACAACCTCATAAAAACCTTTTTGCTTTGCTTGAGATTTCTAATATTATACAAGGAACACTTCTACAGTAACATCATTATTTTAAAATAGATTTATACATGCAGAAAATTCTGTGAAGCATTAACACAATAGACAAAAAAATTTCAGGGCCATTTCTTAATCTACACATAGGTTTATTTAATCAGTGTACAAACTACTGCCCAAAGCCAAAACACAAGGTTCCCATTTCAATTAGAGATTTCAACTCAATAATCTCTAAAGAATTTCAAATTTTCCCATCTATAAAGCAGGGGTTGGCAAACTTTCTTCAAAGGATCCCATAGTAAATCTTTTAGGCTTTGCAAGCCTGACAATCTCCGTTGCAACTACTCAGAGCACCCACAGATAATATGTAAAGAGAGAAGTATATAGCTATGTTCTAATAATGCTTTATTTGTGGACACTGGTATTAGAATTTCATGTTTTTACATGTCATGTAATATCAGTCTTTGATTTCTTCCTCCAGCCATTTAAAAATGCAGAAGCCATTCGGAGCTGGTAGAAAAATAAGTAACAGGCAGCAGGCCAGATTTGGCCCATGTGCCACACAGTTTGCCAACATCTGCTCCAAAATAATTCCTTAAAAATCTAGTCACCTTATAATTTCAAATCGTTACTTCCCAGAGATTTAAAGTAATTATTCACATCTTCATCAGTAACTTCTTTTAGATTAGCCGGTTTCCATTTTGGGCTCTGGTCTTTATCTATTAAAACTGTCAAGTGAAGACATAAGAAATGTTAGTACATTTCTTTCAGGCATTACCAGATTCTAATTACAGAACTGACAGAAACTACCTAACACGAGGCATATTTTCTATAGCACATTTTTTCCTGCAGGGTTTAAATTTTTGTTATTGGTTCCATTTTTCTTTCAAATTAAGCCTCAGCAGAATTTGGCTGGATGATGATCCCTGTGGTTATTTCCCAACCTGCTAAGTCTGATGCCCGTAGCTTGAATACAGCCTATGAACTAATGTGGCTTAAGGCTTAGAACTCTTTTCCCTTCTTCAAACAAAATCGTAAATGAAATCTTCCTGTTATAAAACAGCTAAAACCAGGGTTGGTGTAGTTTAAAGGGAAGGCAGGGGAGGGTGGAGGGCCCAAATCTGCCTTCTAACCTCCTCCACATTGAGTTGAAAGGAAAATTACTTAAAGTAGAGAAGGGGATGACTTTATGCATAATTAAATGTGGATACTGCTGTTTTGCTGAATCCTCTGGTTCACACAGCTCTGCATTAAAATACCAGACTTCTCTGCAGGTTATCATAAGAAACTCGACTTCTCTTATTTTGGAGTAGTCATCATTCATTGTAGCCACATAGCATCCCCACAGGATCCTAAGTACAAAGCAATTGGCAAACCTCTCCTTTAAAAAGGTAGGAGTGTCTGCTTCCTGGTTGTGATTGTATACTACAGTTACACAAATGTTACTGTTTGGGAAAACTTGGAGGGCACATAGGATCTCTCTATATTATCTTAACACTGTGTGTTAATGTACAATTATCTCAAAAAATTTTTTTGAGAAGGAGACTAGGTATGGTTAATGGTAGGGAATTGCAACCATATTTAAAATGTGCATAATTCTTGTGATTGATAAAAATATTTAAACATAAAAACTCTGAACCTAAAAAAAAACAAATTTAGTATTAAAAGGCTAAATAATTAAAGAAGCAATCTGGGAACCAAGAAGCAGGAGGAAGAGGGAAAGGGGCTTTGTGCATTATTAAATGTGGATACTAGAGCTTTTTAAGTCTGGGCTGCCTAGCTACAGGATTCTAGCTAGTATCAGATCGGTGGTAACACTGAACACTGATGTTATGATCCCTGCCACTTTGACAGTTTTCCATTCCCCAGACAGCATAAAGAAAAACAATCCTGGAACATTATTTCTTCAAGAATCTCTTCCTTTTTAAGCCCTCTGGCCAATGCTATCATGCTATCTACCTCCTTGACAGTCTGAAGGGCAAAAATAGAGAGAATATTAATCAAATCTGGCTGTTCTTTTATTTCAAACTGACATAAGTTTTTTACTTAGCACAGATATAACAAGTCCTTGCCATGTAGACAGCTCAGGGTTTTTCAAGTCTCATGAGGCACCCACTCAAATTCCATTTGGTAACTCTTTAGCTCGCTGAAATAACCTATTTTTATTTTCTTCTATAACCAGGAAGAAGTTTATTCTAGATGTTAAGAGTAAGAATTTTTAACAACCAGTCCCTTAATTTGCTAGTTTATTTTATCTAATTTGCTAACATATTTTATAATTAGCAAACTGTAGCAAACATTTGGTTATTATGCAAGAACACCAAACAGTTTTACCCAGAATAGATACTGCTTTCAAAATAAGGAGTTTATGCTAAAGATGAGGCAGTATGCTTTCTCTTCATTAGAAAGCAGCTTGATAAGCTCCTGACTTATGAATCAAAACTTTGATGCTGCTTGGTTTTAACTGTTTCCTTAAAATAATGGACAATAAATATGAAAGCAGTACCTTCATTTTTTAAGCTTAAGAAGGGCTGCTGTAACATATAATGAATACTTTAACAGTAAAACCCAAATAGCACACATGTCCTTCTACTAACAGAGATGTAGGCTCTGATCCACATGCAGCAAGAATTTGTAGGGAATTAGTGGGAAAAGTACCCATTTTACCTGGTTTCTATAAAACATATACCCCTCTCCTCTGACTCAATTCCCTGTGTCTTCTAAAAGGATTTAAACCCCTACTTATTTCTGATGATATTTTATCATGCCATAAATTAAGATAATTCTACAATGGTGACCAGTGTTTATCAAAGCTTACAGCTCAGAGAACATAATCTTTTATTTAAAGTAAATACAGACTCTGAACTATATTAAAGCGATCAATAAAAACATTAAAAAATTATATGTGCAAAACACATGCAAAAGTTAAGAACTCATTTTATACAACATACACAGCTATTATTTATGGGGGATATGGGCTTATACATAAAAAATTGTTGCAAATTTGCTAAGAACAAAAAAGCCCATTTCACTTGCTTTTTCTAAATATGCTGACTTTGGAGATGATAAAGATAAATCAGATATTCATAAGAACACTAGCACATGTTACCAATTATTGTATATAGTTTTTTCTCTCAATGTCAATTTGAACTTCTCAGTTATAGGCAAAGAGGTAATGGGAGAGTTCATTGCTGCTGGGATTTTGCCAGGCCGGTACGAGAGAGAAGAGCAGTACGGGACTTCAGGGCTTCTTGCAAGGAAATAAATGCACCTTTCAAACCTTTCAGCAACAGAAAAACTTTTCAAACGCAACTGCACTTAGCAGAGGCGGTCTGAATGACTGTAGAAAGCAGGGTTACCTCTCACATAGAAATTAGGGAGCAGTGACACAAGGTTATGTGAAGTTTTCAAACAATACTGGTTTTAAAGACTGATTTTCCCTTATATGTCAGTTGGTAATATTAAAATAGCAACAACTTTGCAATCTTTATGAAAGTATAATTTTCACTAATAAAACAACTATCATCTTTGCTCACAAATCCTATTTCCATAATAGCTGGGAAGAATATCCATCACTTACCTGCCATAACACCTTCATGAAAGTCATGGCCTCCCTGAAAGAAAAATCGAGATTAAATGGTGAATTTCCAGCCATCCTTATTTGCAGTGATGACCTCTCCCCTCCACCCCACTGCAGCCTCCTACCCTCACGGCCATAGCCTGAAATACACATTCAGAGACTGGGACTGACTTTATGACCCACTCTCTGATCACCGTCTCCAATTCTTATCGACCCAAGTACCTTCACTTGCAAATCCCTGACTCCACCGAACACCACTGATTCTACAACTTTTCCACCACTCACTTGGCTCCTCATCCAGCCCAGTTTCCCCAGTCCATTAACGGGGTCATCTTGCCTAGAAAATGCCCTCATCTGCCTTAATCCTTTTTCTCCCCTGTATTCTTTCCTGGCAAAAACCCATCTGCCCTACCATATACCTCTGCCTTCTTTCGAGCAGCTAAATCTTGCTGTAGAAAAATCATACAACTGTGATTGGTTTCATTTAAGATTCATGACCACACAGAGTGGCGAAAATTAACAACTCAGGAAACAACAGATGCTGAACGAGGGTGTGGAGAAACGGGAACCCTCTTGCGCTGTTGGTGGGAATGCAAACTGGTACAGCCACTTGGAAAACAGTGTGGAGGTTCCTCAAAAAATTAACAGTAGAACTCCCCTATGACCCAGCAATAGCACTGCTACGATTTTACCCAAGGGATACAGGAGTGCTGATGCCTAGGGGCACATGGACCCTAATGTTCACAGCAGCACTTTCAACAACAGCCAAATCATGGAAAGAGCCTAAATGTCCATCAACTGATGAACGGATAAAGAAGATGTGGTTTACATATGCAATGGAATACTACTTGGCAATGAGAAAGAAGGAAATCATGCCACTTGCAGCAACGTGGATGGAACTGGAAGGTATTATGTTGAGTGTCAGGGAAAGAAAGATATCATATGTTTTTACTCTTATGTGGATCTTGGAAAGTTAACAAGACCATGGGGTAGGGGGAGGGAAGGGGAAAAAAGTTACAAACAGAGAGAGAGGGAGGCAAACCACAAGGGATTCTTGAATACAGAGAACAAACAGGGTTGTTGGAGGTGAGGGGAATGTGTGATGGGCACTGAGGAGGGCACTTGTTGGGATGAGCACAGGGTGTTGTATGTAAGTGATGAACCACGGGAATCTACCTGAGAAACCAAGAGCACACTTTACACAATGTATGTTAGCCAATTTGACAATAAATTATATTTAAAACAAAGTTTTAATTAAAAAAAATTAAATTCATGACCACAAATCTCAAACAGGCATGGAAAACTGCCCAACGGGGAGTTATTCTCTTCCCCACTTCCCAAGATGATAATTTTAACTGCCTTTTACCTTCTCAACCTCTAACCTTAGCAAATCTTCTCCTAGAATATCAGTGTAGGCAGCATAACTCAGTGACTGACTGCAATTCAAATGTCGGGGCTCACCCCATGGCTCCACTGCATAGTGGCTATGTGACTTGTAGCTACTAACTTCACTAATGCCAAGCTTCCTTACATAAACTGGCAATACCAATACATCCATCACAGGATTATCTTACTCCACATCCCAGCACGGTGTCTGACACACAGTAAGTATCCAGTACATGTTATTGGATCATCAACATCATCTTTTTTCTCTATTGGATCATTCCCAATCATTTATAAATATGTTCTAGTATCTTCTACCTTCTAAAATAACACTTGATTCTACCTACAGTCCCAGCTTCTATCCTATTTCTAGAAAGGAGTTGTGTACATAGAGCCTCCACTTCTCCACATCCCATCTACTCACTTCCTCTCTGAGTCACCACACTATAACTTCTGCCCCCACACTCTGAAATGGCTTGCCAAAATCACCTGTAACTTCTGTGGCACCATATGTTGAGTGTGACTCCCCTACTGGACACTTTGGCAGTGCTTCCTTCTCCTTGACACATTCATCTCTGGCTTTCATGACTCTCCTGATTCTCCCACCTCCATCCTTTTTCTCTTCCACTGCTCTTTCTCCTCTACCCTATTCAAAATGCTGGGTATCTTGGGGCTCAGATCTGGGCTCTCTCATTTTCATTCTATATGACCTTATCCATTCTATACCCATGAGCACCTGAGTTATCACTTGTATTAAAATATAAGATCATGTCACTCTTCTGCTCAAAAACATCCAGTACCTTCCCATTTTACTCAGAACAAAAGCCAAAGTTTTATAAAAGACCTTGGAGGAAGCTATATATGCTCTGCCCAGCCCTTCTCTACCCTGTAAACTCTCACTTCATCTCCCTCACTGACACTCCTCATCTGCCCACGCCATGCATCAAAGCTTCCTGCAGCTCCTAGAACAGGCAGGCACACTCCTGCCTCAGCTTTGTACTGCCTCTGCCTGGATGATCTTCCCAGATACTTACACTGCTCAACCCTTCTCTTCCTTCAGGTTTGCACTCAGAGAACATCTTCTCAGGTCTTCACTGGTCATCCTATCTGTAAGTTCAAACGGTCCCCCATTCCTTATGCCATACTTTCTTCCTACTTTACTTCTCCTCTTTAGTACTTATAATCATATACTATATATTTTATAATTTCATCTGTTTACAATCTATATCCCCCACTATAAAGCAAGATCCATGAGAACAGGAATTTTGTCTGTTTTGTGGACCTATGCATTCTTGGTGCCTCTAACACCTGGTAAGCATTCTTATTTAGTAAGTAAATCTCCAAAGTTTCAGACTTAAATCTCTAACCCACAGCTCCAAGCTCCAATTCCTAAATGCATTCTTTCCTTCCCTCACATCCATCATTAAGGCCTATCAATTCTCTCCTACATCAGTCTCAAAATCATTCACTTCCCTCCATTGCCGCCACCTCCGTCTAAGCCACTACAACTTGAAAGCTGGATTACTGTAAAAACTCAAATCTGGTCTCTGCATCCACTCTTGAACCCTTCTAACCTCATCTCCATTCAGCAGTAATAATTACTTTCTTAAAGCAAAGAGAACCAGATCATCCACTGCTGAAACTGAAGAGACTTCTCAACTATACTCCTTTCTCACCCTTCGGGTCACAGATGAGCAGGCATTTCAAAGACATCTTCTCTGACTACTTATTTCCCTTCGTCTCTCCCACCAGCTCCTGTCCCTGCATCATTCTGTCATCAATCTATATGTTTCCTTTGGAGCACTTGCCATAATTTGTAACTATTTTACTTATTTTGTTTACTTGTTCTTCATAGGCTCAGTAGACTATAAATCTCATGAGACGAAGGATTGGGTCACTCTTTCTACAACATAACACTTAGCACAGTACCTGGCAACACATCTAATGTATTCGCTGAAGGAAGGAAGGTATCAATCAATCAATCCAGGCAGTGCAGTAAGTGTATAGTGAGAAGCATCGACTGTGTGAGGTGTACTGGGGGGTAGTGGTGGGTACAGGGCCCAGAGTGAATTTATTAGCCTAAAGGCCCCCACCTGGTTTCACACACCATGTGTCTGTCACTTAATAGCTATACCACCTTAGACAGGTTACTTTTCCTCATCTGTAAAATGGAGACAAGAATAATACCTACCATTCTAAAAAACAGTGTAAAATTTAATGGACAGGATATATGTGAGGTGCTTGGCATAGTATCTTTTTTTTTTTTTTTTAACAACAACAGACTTCAGCTGCCACTTTCATCTACTAGGAGGGACTTTAAGATTAAAGTGACTAACGGAATTTTATTTATAATTAGATGAACTGCTTTGAATACCTTAACTATTTCTCCTTTTGTTAATGTTTATTTATTTTGAGAGAGAGTGCAAGAGCAGGGGAGGGACAGAGTGAGAGGAGGGCGACAATCCCAAGCAGGCCCTGTGCTGCCAGCGCAGAGCCTAACACAGGGCTCAATCCCATGAACCATGAGATCATGACCTGAGCTAAAACCGGTCATGACTTGGACGAGACTCATGACACTTAACTGACCGAGCCACCCATGTTCTCCTCTTAACTATTGCAAGACATGAAAGTCCATTAGGGATATCTGCTTCCTGGTTATTAAACAGAATATTTTCTTGAAGCCATAAATTTATTAACCTAAAGGCCCTATACCCACAACACAAAAGCAATGATTCTGCTTTCAAAGAGTTTACCACCTAGAAGAAATCTCTACGACTCCAAAATATGTCATAAAATTAATATTCTATGTGATTATTTTCTATTCTATGTGTATTTACAATGGAACTTTTGGTGCTAATCTATTAACTAAAACATGTAACAGACTAGTAACTTCCATTTGTACATTTCATATATATATATATATATATATATATATATATATGTATCTTTTACACACACACACATACTCCTTGTTTTACCAATGAGGGAATTCAGCTGTAGAGAGTTTATGCTTCTCTACATGGTCAGAAACTATGCCTGAAAAATGGTTAATTTCTATTTTGAATTCCACCTGAGATTAGAGGCTTTCTTATATATAGTACATGCAAATGTAATTACTATTTCATAAAGGCTTAAAAATAATTTGGGAGAATAGTTCCACACACCTTAAGCTAACTGGCCTGTTGCGTTTCCACAGAATAGATTTACTGGCAGTTTTAAGTTTCTTGTTTATAGCTTTCTAGATTTTACATGCTCTACAATGAACATCTATTATTTTCATAAATAGAAAATAACTATATATTTCAAAAATTCTTACCATACAAGCCTGACTCAGCCGATACTCCATAATTAATACTTCTTGCAAGGTCTTTGAAGACCCTTCAATGAGTTGTCTTAGTGTTATCTTTAGGGATGTTGGAGACATTTTATTAATTACCTATGAGAGAAAAAAATGTTTTTGCTAGTTTTAGCTCAATAGTTCCTTTACTATAATAAATGTTTTGACATAAATCTTATTAAAATTTGCTCCTTAAAGAGTACTTTCAGATGACAGTTTCATAAAAGTAAGATTATGCTTTAGCCTAATCTTGCCAAAGCACCAACAGTTTTCTAATCTATTATAACAAGATCATTCCACTAGTGGAATAAATTCTGTACCTATTACTTAATAAAACATACCTATATTTTGTAGCTGCCTGAAGTAAATTATGATCCCAACTAGGTAAGCAAACAGTGATTAAGTAAAATTAATACATATATGACAAACAAATATATATATCAGAGGACATTTTAACTTTATAAAGAAGCTGGAATCATAATACAGTAGTCTTTCCTTCCCTTTTTGTGAATAAAGAGACGTGTTTTAGCTGAACTATAATCTTTATCTATAAATAAATCCACTTACCTCAAAAGCAAGGAGAGAAAACAATTCAAGATGCCATGAGATGGTCTTCTACAGTATTTAAATGTTTAATAAAACAAGAATTACAGGCCCAGCTGGTTGGCTACTTCTTTTTGCATTTAAAGATGCTATTATTCGCGTTGTGACATATGCACATGACTGTGACCAACAGCTGCTACAAGAGGTCCCATCACATGCCGTGTAAATATGATACTTGCCCTTTTCTTTATGATTGCAATGTGCAGTTTTCAGGCATGTTGTTGAGTAGTTATTTCAAAGGTATAAATTTCACTTTTTAATTCAAAAAATTCCCCACATCAAGATTCCAGGTTCCTTGTAGCAATCCCAAGTCTTGCACAGATTCAGAGAACAGAGTGAATGGAAAGGGCAGTATATAATACCTAACAGCTGCTAAAACCTAGATGGCTACTCTACAGAAAAAGGTCAGTGAAGATCAGTGTCCTACCTGTAGTCACAATGCTGAAGAAAAGAGGAAAGAGAGGGAGAAAAAGCAACTAAGGCTTTTATGCATCCGATTCATCTTCACAGGAACGCACCCTTTTGCCCTCAGTGTTGTACACACATGATCTCATTTAATGCCCAGTAGCAATACCACTCACATTTGCGCCTTTCTGGTTGCTGGCCATGAGGTTGATGGCACCCATACAGCAGTCTGTCTACTGTGCTAGGAGTCCCCTCCCTCCCACAGGCAAGAAGACAAGGAAGGGATCCATTCTGCTGATGAAACCACTGGTTTTCTCTAGCCAGAGCCATGCCCACATTATCACAGGTGAACATCTGGAAGAACATCATTCACAATGCTGAAAGATGTTCTTAAAGGAGTGACATAGCCAATTTCTATCTCTTCCAGTCTGCAAAGTCAATGAAGTTACAACTGCCTTTCCAACAGGGCTGTATTATATAAGCCCACAATTATGTACCTCAGAACTACCATGATGTCTAATTGTCTGTGTCCTCTTTCTTGGTTTGGCACTTTATATGCAATCTAGAATCCTCAAAACACAAACTCTATCTTTGCTATACTTCCTCATTTGGCTACCAATTAATTTCGTTAAAAAGGCCACATAATAAGAAAACAATCCCATTTATAATTGCACCAAAAATAATAAGATACCTAGGAATAAACTTAACCAAGGAGGTAAAAAACCTGTACTCTGAAAACTATAAAACATTGATGAAAGAAACTGCAGATGACCCAAATGGAAAGATATTCCAAGCTCATGGATTAGAAGAACCAAATATTGTTAAAATGGCTATATTACCAAAAGTAATCTACATATTTAATGCAATCTCTATGAAAATACCAACAGCATTTTCCATACTAGAATACTACTAAAATTCATATGGACTCACAAAAGACCTGAAATAGCCAAAGCAACCTTGAGAAAGAAAAACAAGGCTAGAGGTATTACAATCCCAGATTTCAAGATCCACGACAAAGCTATAGTAATCCAAGCAGAATGGCATTGGCACAAAAACACATAGACCAATGAAACAGAACAGACACCCCAGAAATAAACCCACACTTATATGGTCAACTAATCTACAAGAAAGGAGGCAAGAATATACAATGGGGAAAAGATAGGCTCTTTAATAAATGGTGTTGGGAAAACTGGACAGCTACATGCAAGAGAAAGAAACTAGACCACTTTCTTACAGCATACCAAAAATAAGCTCAAAATGGATAAAGACCTAAATGTGAAACCTGAAGCCATAAAACTCTGAGAAGAAAACACAGGCAGTTAATTGACACTGACAGTAGAAATATTTTCTAAAAAAAAAAAAAAAATGTGTGTGTGTGTGTGTGTGTGTGTGTGTGTGTGTGTGTCTAAGGCAAGGGAAACAAAAGAAAAAATAAACTATTGGGAGTACACACACACACACACACACACACACACACACACACACACACAGCTTTTGTGCAGTGAAGGAAACCATCAGCAAAATGACCAGGTGAACCTACTAAATGGGGAAAGATACCTGCAAATGTTATGTTCAATAAGGGATTAATATCCAAAATATATAAAGATCTTATACAACTTAACACAAAAACAATCTAATTAAAAAGAGGGAGAAGACATGAACAGACATATTCCCAAAGACCTATCATGGCCAACAAACACATGAAAAGTTGTTCAACATTACTAAGTAACAGGGAAATGTAAATCAAAACCACCATGAGATATCACTGTATACTAGTCAGAATAGCCAGTAACAAAAAGACAAGAAACAACAAGTGTTGGTGAGGATGTGGAGAAAAAGGAATTCTTGTGAACTATTGGTAGGAATGCAAACTGGTACAGCCACTGGAGAAAACATTATGGAGGTTCCTCAAAAAATCAAAAATAGGATTTCCACATAATCCAGTAATTCCACTACCAGATATTCACCCAAAGAAAACAAAAACACTAATTTGAAAAGATACAAGCACCCCTATGTTTACTGCAGCATTATTTACAATAGCCAAGATATGGAAGCAACCCAAGTGTCCAACAACAGAGGAATGAATAAAGAAGATATGGTGTGTATGTACAATAAAGTATGACTCAGCCATAAAAAAAATAAGGAGATCTTGACTTTGACAACATGGATGGACCTAGTGTGTATAATGCTAAGCTAAGCAAGTCAGAGAAAGACAAATACCATATGATTTCACTCATATGTTGAATTTAAGAAACAGAACAAATGAACAAAGAGAAAAACAAAAACAAAACAGACTTAAATACAGAGAACTAGTGGTTGTCAGAAGGAAGTAGGTAGAAGAATGGATGAAACAGAGGGGGTAAAAAGGCCATGTAAGGGCTCCTCCATTGTCCGTGCTTGTGCACACACACACAAATATATGATAGAGAAAAAAGGGAAGAATATTTTATTTGAAAAGCTCCACTGGTTCAGACATTTCATGAATTAGAAAGTAAATATATTTCCTGAGACATCATATTTAAAGAAATAGTATACTGGCAATTTGGCATAGAGACTCAGGGTTTGAACTCTAAGAGTCCAACAACTCAGCAGAATCCCAGCTCCACCACATTCTACATAATTGATCTTAATTTCTTCATTAGTAAAATGGAAATAGTAATACTACCTACCTCATAAATGGTATGGCAATATAGGATGTGCATTGTGTCAGAAACCAAGCTAAACAGGGAAGGGAAGGGATGGAACATGTACTGAGTACATTTTCCTCAGCTCTCAGGCAAGGACATTCACATGTATGCACATTATACAAATGAAACCAGATGTCACACAGAGAGGAATCCAAACCCAAGCCTTCTAATTCCAAAGCCTACATTCTTCTACCATGCAAGGCTATAAAAGGTAGTCAAGGGGCGCCTGGGTGGCTTAGTCGGTTAAGCGTCCGACTTTCGCTTAGGTCATGATCCCGTGGTTTGTGGGTTCGAGCCCCGCGTCGGGCTCTGTGCTGACTGCCAGCTCAGAGCCTGGAGCCTTTCAATCTGTGACTCCCTCTCTCTCTGACCCTCCCCTGCTCACGCTGTCTCTCTCTCTCCTAGAAATAAATAAAACATTAAAAAAAAAAAAATTAAAAAAAAAAAAATAAAAGGTAGTCAAGGGGCGCCTGGGTGGCTTAGTCGGTTAAGCGTCCGACTTTCGCTTAGGTCATGATCTTGCGGTTTAAAATCTCGTGGTTCGAGCCCCGCGTCGGGCTCTGTGCTGACTGCCAGCTCAGAGCCTGGAGCCTGTTTCAGTCTGTGACTCCCTCTCTCTCTGACCCTCCCCTGCTCACGCTGTCTCTCTCTCTCCTAGAAATAAATAAAACATTAAAAAAAAAAAAATTAAAAAAAAAAAAATAAAAGGTAGTCAATATCAAAGGCTGAAGAAGAGTCAAAAAGAGCAAAGATGGAGAGGATGTTACATCAAGTGGTAGAAAGAAGTAAATAAAAACTTGCTTGTGCAATTTTGACGGCAAGGAGGGAAAGACAAAGTCAGTACGGTAGCTTCAGAAAAAACGATCAAGAGAAAGCTTTTTTGTAAAAGTAGGGAAGCTTCGGAAAATAGTGGCAAAAGAAAATGTGCACTAACCCAAGAAGGTAATATGTTGAAGATAACAGAAAGAGGACGAGGGCTGATGCAATTAGCTCCTAAATGAGATAGGAAAGGACAGAATGAGGGCACAGATAGGGACGCTTCCCTTGGCAGGGAGGTGAGACATGTTAGAGGAATCAAAAGGATGACAGAAGAGAGTTAAGGGAGCTCATATAATATAGCCTCATTCATTAAGAAGGGAACACAGAGACTATTCCAGAAAACTGGAATGAATGATTAGGACTTCAATCTTCAGCTATGTCAGAAATGTGTATATATGATCCTGTACCCACACAACCTAGTAAACACATTTCTACTTGGTAAAACATTGGTTAATATTGTCCCCAAATTAACTGACCCTTTAAAGATTAGCTGTCTCCTGTATACCAAACAGCCAACTTCTTTCTTTCCTTTTTGTGTTGTTTTAAAGTTTAATTTTTTTTTTATTTATTTTGAGAGAGAGAGAG